TTATTATGGTCAGTTGTAATCTATTATAATCTCTAATAATTCTTACCTATGTTTATAAGTAATCATAAGTATTACCATGTATTATAATCAGCCATAATTATTATGGGTCCTTATGCTCTATTATACTCAGGGTAATTCAGAGGGGGGGGAAATCTTTGAAGAACAATGGTGGAGCAAGGGTACATATGAGCAGAAGCCCACAAAGTACTCCCAATGCAACTCATGTAATAGAAAGTCCAAAAGCTGAGGCTATAAGTAAAGCTAGCTGTGCTCAAATAATAATGGCCTGATGGCTCGGTTGGTAAAGTACTCGCCTGAAGCAATTTTCAAATTGCTGAGGTCTAGAGTTCAATTCTCTCTGGTCACAAAACTGTAATCAATGAAATTAGATACTCATAAATAGATTAGTAAGTAACTGGTTCAAACTACTGACCAGCAGACAGACAGACTTTTTAAAACTGCAAATATAAAGCTGTAAGTCACTATAATTTTGATAATACTTATGCCAATTATAATCAAGGTAATTATTATGGCTGATTATTGTCTATTATATTTGTACTAGGTTAGTTATATTGAGCTATAAGCCTGGTAAGTATTATAATAGATTATAATGGATTATGGATATTATATTCTATTATAATCTATGGGACTTTTTCCTGATGTGCGTAGCGGTTCTCGATGTGCATAATCCAGGTCAATGCCAGGGTGTCTTTTTCAAGTGTTTTTGTTTCTGATTTATCGTTGTCGTGAAAATATATTTTTTGTAGCGATTTGCATATTACTCATTCTGTTCAGTTGCAAGTCCGGAATAAGTACCAATCATTGCGTGGATGACTGGCTCTGCGCGGGCTGCTCTGATTTTATGAAGGCCAGAGAAACTTGGTAGTAAGGGGGACTATCCTACGCATATTGAGGGAAGAGATGATAAAGGGGAAGACGGAGGCTGAAGCGTTCGACGCTAGGGTTGAAATGTTGATTCTCCGATTAGCTTCGGATTACTGTCTGATAGATTAGCTTTGGATCACATGACGCGATTCTACAACCCGACTTCGGGGACCCCAAGACTCCCTCTTGGATCCGTAGTACGCATGCTTCGCTAATGTCCCTCATTTACCAATGTATGATGGTTTCTGAGGGACTCATCACCATCTCGTGCCCTGTTATTGACAAGGAAGCCGTGGAGGCATGCGATGAGTACTTCGGAAGCCTCGACTCATTTCTCTGGGGGACGATGGCAGTCATACCTAGCACTGCGAGGAAAAATGACGCAGTTACGGAAGGGGTTCTTGCATTTTAGGATGAAAGATAAATTTGGCGAAGAATGTGTGTTGAACGCGTGCCACTTCCCTGTTTACTATATAACTGACGACTCAAATCACGGTTCATTCGGAATCTTCTTTTAGCCATTTTGGGCTCCCCTGACTTGACATCGACTGTTTTCACTTGAATGAAGTGTCGACCTGGGCCTTCATGCCGGCTTTCCGATCCTTCTCCCATCTCAGTTATTTCTGTTGCGGCAGTTCTCTGGATCATCTTAGACAACTTCTTGTGAGTTTCACATGCTAAGACAGACTTTTTCCACAAGTAGATCTCTTCTCACCCGAGGCTCCAATGTTTATCTATTACCTGTGGACCGATCTCGTTACCCGCACACCAACCAGCACTTGTTCTACCTACGAGTAATATTTTCATCATACCCTCATACGAATTTTCCCATGTCACTCAGTATTTCTTTTTCGTCAGTAACGTTTTTGCAACCATTCTTTATGCCTCTGTCCTAGAAAAGCTCAACCATGCTCTAAAATGTTCCCTGTCTCAAAATTCTCTTTCACTCCACTATCTACTCATTCTTTACTCATAACTGCACTGACGATAAACTTAGCCCTAGACTCTATGGAAGGATTGCCTTAACAAATCGTGGAATGGAATCCTCATCAAGACGAAATGTGCGATCCGTATGCTACAATAGCCTGACTTCTTCCCTTCGGGATCTGTGTACAGATGAACCACTCTCGACCTCAATCCTTGAGCCAGTCAAACGGTTACCCGTGATTGGAACTACCGTTGGTATGTCTCATTCCAGCTTGCTAACCTCGCCTTACCATTCAATGACTTAGGTTCTTCCCAACCACCAAATATATGTGACGCGTAGTTCAAACTGTGAAGTCAGATATTGAAGAACCCAACAATGGCGAGGGCCGTGGGAGGAGGTTAGAAGCGGGAAAAACTGGGTTGGGTATGGAAAGGTTGAGAAGAGGGCGCCCAAGGGTGGCCATCCTTCAAATTCCGAAGTTAAAATGAAATCTTTGAGATTAAGATTGAGAGCGAGAGTGAGAGCGGGAGGCCTGAGTAAATCAGAGAATGTCAACAAGAAATGAGAATGAATACTGAGAATAAACATTGAGATCAGAAGTTGAGAGTGAACAAGAATGAGACCATTGATCCCAGATGGGTGAAGATCATCCTGTTGAATCATTGCAGAGCAAAATATAATCAACCCTCGAACGAATCTCATACTAGTTGGTATAACATATTATGGCACGGCCAGTGGAGTAAATTTAGAACGTGAGAGTAACAGGGGAGATTTGACGCCTTGTTTTCGGTTTCGGTATAAAATCAACGGAAAGCCAAGATATCTCGATCCCACCTAGCACTAGAAAGCCCCATTCTAGCTATTGCCCCAGTGGTACTAGTGATACCCTTTGGCGGTAGTACTCACAGTCAGCACGGTCAGACTTCAACTGATCTGTGCTTTCATACAGTACTACATGTGGTGGTAATCCGACGGATTGTCAGATTCCATCCGCCGATTCCAATGAGGCTTTGAAGAACATCTATCTGAACAGGATCTTAATCCGACCACTTGGAGCCCTGGCGCTCTCGAATTTTGAGACTTTTACTGTACTTGGCATTGGATTTGGCGTCAACCAGAAAACAGATTGATTTCAAGAATTGTATCAGAGGTCATGGTAAACACGCCGAGCTCGTTAACGACGCCGACTTTTCATTCAGGGTGGAAAAGGTACACGGGTCGGCCACAGAGATTCAGCTCGAGAGAACTTCGTTGTGTAGAAGGCTCGGAGTCCCTTGACTGGGGGAAGCCGTTAAGACGTGATCTGGATCTGGATCTGCCTGCAAAATAGTGAGTAGTATAGAAAGAGCCCCTTCCATTCTCCCGTATGAATTGAATTGTCTCAAAAAGACGTCTATTTGCATGGCTTATGTATGGAGGTCAATGAAAGCTTGCAGGTTGGAATATTTATTGGCAGTTGCTTCGTCTTCCATTTCTCTTTTGAAAAAAGTCCAGATGTGTCCATGTCAAAAGTCTTTTGTTGCTGTGCGGCTCTACAGAACAATATTTGAAAGGTAGATGAAAGGTGACACGGAAATTAATTATAAGCATTCTTCTTGTGCATGGGGCAGCCTCGTTTTCTTTCATTACCTCCGCATACTACTATCGTCATGCTCAAAAGTCTCGAAGGACAGGTCTGGTTACAGGTCATCGCTTGCTCATATCGCTAATAATATGCCTTCCCGTCCTGTAACGCAGGCTGGTGGTATCGTTGCTAACCTCAACGAGACCGCTAATCAATCCTCGGACAAGGGGAGAGATCACGTCAATAAGGTGTGGGACTGTATGTTTGATGTATCTTCCAGGTGTTTAATCCAGTCTCCCCTTTCCACTGTCAGGTAAACAATGTTATCAACTCTGCTGTTAACAGTCCCGACAATGAAGAAGTTGCGCAAGCTACCAATCTGAAAGGAAATGGAGAAGCCATCAGAGAACTGGCCATGAAAGGGAAGGAAGATGTTGCCCATCCGCTGACCTATGCCAATGAGTCAGTCGATGAACTAGGCGGGAATGTAGCAGCCTTGACAGAGAAGGGGAAAGTCGTCGAAGAACTTGCCGTGAATAAGACAACAGACGCCGGGCTACTGGTCAGCGAGGCAGCTGTTGAATTGACAGGCAAGGTGTGTTCCGACTTCCTGTTTCTCTTGACTCGCAGCCTCTCACTGGTAACCCTGGGCTTCACAGATCAGCAGCAAAGGGGAACTCGTTACGGAGAAGCTCGAATCTGGGATTGGGGCTCTATCTCACCCATTTGCCAAGATCCAGGGGATTTTTTCCGGTCTGTTGTGGACTGTGGTTGTTCCTGTCGGCCTGCTCGTAGTATACGGGCTACTCCGTTATTTACATATTCTCTAACCGTAATCAACCATAGTTGCAAGTTGCAAGTGCATTGTCAAGTGATACCAGCTCACAAATAGTATGCCTGATCATCAATCCCTTTCGCTTTAGGTATGTTAAGATTTAGACTGTGGAAGCAGCAAGCCTGTGCGAGTACTCACCAGTATTCCAGAACTTTCTGTAGTGACTCAAGCTCCAAGCTTTTTACTCAGCGTTCTCACTTACTGTAGAACATTCTAGATACATTGTAGGGTATATAAAGATGTAGGTAGACACTGGGCTTATTGGTTTGCCCTGATTCAAGCCAATCTTACCATTCAGTGAAATTGCAAACCTACCTTGCTTCTCATCATTTAATCACTCACCCGGAAATCCAACAAGGTGTACAGTGCACTCCAGCTTCTCACCCTTGACATGCAGCAAGATTGCATTTTCTGCTGTTTGGGAGCCATTGGTTGGCAAGCTTGCAATCTCATCTTTCTTCAACTCTGTCTCCATTGGTGTTCTAATTTCAACCCCATGTTCCTCTCCTTTCTTCAATCTCCCGCATCTCTATCAGAATTTCCTTCTCCCTCCATTGACCTCTCCCTGGATCTCTCTGCTTTACCGATTCCAAGCTTTGACCCTTTTATAGAAGGGCCTCCTGTACCACTCTGTTCCTGCTACTTCTTGCATCATGCCCTTTGAGACTTGATACTGTGTAATGCCCTATGTCTTCCTCAACTTCACTACCAGCACTATCAATACTCCCTAGTCTGTCCCCCAAGTGACACACTGCATATGCTGCAGCACCCTTTTTGTTGTGCTTGGCCTTTGACTTGCTCTATTTTTGTGTTCTGTTGTATTCGGCTTTTCCCAATATCGTATATAAGCTTCGTTCACTTTCCTTCACGTTCTCTTCACGTTCTCTCACTTCCGCTTTACCTGCCTTGTCGTAGATAGACCTAGGAGCAATCTAAACGCCCTGTCTAGTTTACGTTGAGGCTTGAAGCACCGAGAGATCGTCCATAGACCCCTTACAGAATCCTAACAGATCTGAGTTTGCCACTGCAACAGCTTGAGGAAGGACTAGTGGAAAATAATGGTGCTCTGTCCAAGTCAAAACAGTTGAAACAACATTATGCATGAGAGGTTTTATCAGGTTCAAAGGTCAGAAATGAGTTCATTTGCTTCTCA